GGTAGTGACGACGATGATGGTGATGGTGATGCATGATGGTGGTGATGGTGGTAGTGACGACGATGATGGTGATGGTGATGCATGATGGTGGGGATGGTGGTAGTGACGACGATGATGGTGATGCATGATGCATGATGGTGGTGATGGTGGTAGTGACGACAGTGATGGTGATGCATGATGGTGGTGATGGTGGAAGTGACGACGATGATGGTGATGGTGATGCATGATGGTGGGGATGGTGGTAGTGACGACGATGATGGTGATGCGTGATGGAGGTAGTGACGACGATGATGGTGATGCATGATGGTGGTGATGGTGATGGTGGTAGTGACGACGATGATGGTGATGCGTGATGGAGGTAGTGACGACGATGATGGTGATGCATGTTGGTGGTGATCGTGGTAGTGACGATAATAATGATAATGATGATCGATGATGTCACATGTTTACGTTGGAAATGGTGATGGTGAGGAAAACATTGTTTGATGGTGATGGTAATAGTGCTGATGGTGGTGCATAAGACAATGATAACGATGGTAATTAGAAGGCGGATGGTAACCAAACACTGCTACTATTAGTACTGTTAGTGACGATGTTTATTTATTGGTTTCAGTTTTGAAGACATTTCATGTCTATCGCAGTCCCCCTCGATCATCGAGCTCTCTCTGGATGGCAATCCATTCTGCAGTGAAAGTAGTTACAAGCAAACAATACTTAAGCATGTCACGTGTATCAGACAACTAGACATGAAGAGAATCACGGTAAATATTCCCCTATTTACTACTCTGGCGTCCAGAGGTTATTTTTCTCGCTCTGACGTTTACTGTTTTGGCGTGAAATCTCGCTTCCTTGCGCCTTGGGCCTCTGGAGTCAAGGTTACCTATTTACTCCTTAGAATAAAACTACAAACTACCCATTGTGTACTTATTATATACGGGGGGGGGATAGATAAATGAACGAGATTTGCCTTGATTGAATTTCGCTTAACCAGAACTGCCTTACCCAAATGTTTCGTCCTCCTTTCCCCCTTCTAGCRTAACAAGGAGTTCTCTGTGTGGAAAGCTTTGGACTTTCCTTTATGTGTTGTATATATGTTTTGCAAAATAGTAAAGTATAAATTCGTGTATATCTACTTGGTTTCAGGAGGAAGAGCGAAGAATAGCTACAGTTATGGCGAAGAAAGAAGAAGAAAAGAAGCGAGAAATCAATAAACTCGCCATCCTAAAGGTATATATCATACCTTGGTTTCCATATTTCCCATTTTTCATATTTCATATTTCTCATTTTTTCAGTGCACTTCTTTGATAATACTCTTCTCACTCTTTTAACTGCTCCATGTTTTCCTCATTTGACCAATACTTCCACTTCACTCAGTTCTCAATCTAACTCTTTCACTGTCATTCTAAACAGAACTTAAATTCCATTTCTTGCTTGCTGTCGCGTAAGCAGATCAAGGTATWGATATACTTGCATGCCTTCTGAATTCTGCATGTCTCTCTGTTGTCTATAAGCCTTTTCATAGTTTAAGAATCGATTCCACTGCGCATGCGATTTTATCCCGAATTTCTATATTATTTTGTCTAAACCTTCTTTGTTCTTAATTAAACAAAAGAAGGTGAAAAATTCGGGATAAAATCGCATGTGCAGTGGAATCGATTCTTAAACTATGAAAAGGCTTATTGAAATAGAAGATATAGAAAACGCGCGGGCGTGATGTGTGCAGTCATAAAACACGCAGGGGTTTGCACAACACAAGAGAAGTGTTATAGGAGAAGCACGACGCCTAGCGTAGCAAATGAAGGTATTCATATATTGCATGCCTTCTGAATTCTGCATGCCTCTCAGTTGTCTATTTTACTATAGCCAATGGGATAAAGTTTGGTTGATGCGTTGTGTCCAATTCAAAAACCTTCGACTTTTGCCAAACTCTTAAACGACCTCTGGGCTAACTCACTGAGCGAATTAGCTCGTTAGGTTTTGAGTAGGTGTCCGAGAAAATGCAGGTTTCAAACCCCTGTTTTTTGAGCCACGGTGCTGGCTAACTCTGGTGTCGCATGTGAGTTGAGGATGTTGCTAAGACCCTTTCCGAGACAGCGAACATGGTGCATTGTGGTCTAGCTTGGGTACAAACATTTTCCCAGGTTAATCATGCCTTATATGGTGTTGTTTATACCCAAACAAGACCAGAATCAATACATCTTGTTTATGGAACTCAGAAAAGGCCTATATTAAGGTAATCATTAATATAACTTTCTTTGGATTGATTAATCGATGTTTTAGGAAAAGCGTCGTATTGCAATCAGTAACGCCCAGAGGCAATGGGAAGTCGCACAGCTAAAGAGCTCTAGACAAACGTAGGTTGATTAAGCTCAGTAATTCACTTACAGTGACTATATCTCACTATCTCACTGCAACCCATTGGTTTACTTCCTAATCCACTATTGAGCTTTTTTTTTTTGCTTTATCAGAAAAAAGAGTTTACAGTAAAATTGCTCATATAGATATTAGGAAAATTGGAAAGTTTCGTGAAGATTGTCCCAAAATGCACTTTAATACCTACTGGACCCAGTTTTCCCCCTCAAACTCGGAATGGGTAATAGCAATAGGTTGCTATCAATAGAYGTCGCTTCCGGTAATAGCTCTTTTCTGATGGCTTGTAGAATCCTGGAGGTTGTTTGATCTCTTGTTTTCTGGTTTGATGTCGTGAAAATAGTCAAATACAATAGTTTGAGGACTTATTTTGATATGTTTTGACTTAGTATCCGCTAGTTGCCCCCCAGTCAACCGCTTGTTTGCCCCCCAGTCAACTCCAAAAGTCACGTGATTGATAGTAAGCAATTACTTCTGCAAGGAGATTGAACAGAAGTTAGCAAGGACTTTAGGTGCAACACACACTGCATGAATTTTTGAACCTTACAACTTTTACAAAGTAATGCTTGTTGGCCGGCAAATTAATAATTAGAAGTTGCATAAGTTGCTTGATATACTGCGCAGATAAGCTCAATTAGATATATATTTCTTCGTAAAATTTCGTGTTTAAAAAAATCATATCTTCAATAGTTTGCGTGCGATCTTCACGCTAAATTTCTCAGTTTTACGTATTTTGGTATGACAACTTTGAATATGAACTCCTTTTTCAAATCAAACAAATTTCTCTACAGCTCGACGTCACATGAAAAACCTCAACACGTTACCATATAAACAAACCACTATGACTGTATGGCAATATGAAAGTAGCAGGAGTAGGGCGGGATAGTGTAGGGAGACAGATTAGTCATTACCTATTATCATTAATAGTAAAGTTTTGTTTGATTGGTTCCAACAGTAATCCTAAAACTCTGTCGGATATTTCGTCTTATCAAAATGATGCTAATGATGCTATCAAGTAAGTACCGTTTCTTCTTAGACGCATAACATATTACTTTATCATGCACAGCTATCATGTACTGTGGTCCATAATTTTCGACTGGACTGGTGGCAAGCGTCTCTTATTCCTTTTATGAATATTTCTTTTTTTTCCCTCTGTTCCTCCCTCCCTCCCTCCCACCCTCTCTCCCTCCCTTCCTCCCTTCCTCCTTCCCTCCCTCCCTCCCTTCAAAAATACATGAAAATAAATGAAAGGAGAAAACGATTTCAAAAGATATACATATATATTCATTTATTGTTCAATTGAAAACGTAAAAACTCTTTTTCATTTATATTTTTAAATAAAATTACAGCACATTCAGTATTAGCAATAAAATAAATCTCTTATTTATGACAGTAATGAGCATCTCAAAAATAGAATATGTTTATCCATTATTATTTTAATATTTAACTTAATTATTTGTTTTAAATATTGTTGTATTTTACGTTATTTATTTATCCACACTTGTCATGCGACTGTATTCAGCTTGGGTAATTCTTTTAAGTGGTCGTCTAATCTTCTTGGAGTCATTGGGTATGGAGAGTCGATCGAAAGACCAAGGTTAACGAAGCTGGTTGCTGACTGAGCACCACGCCTAAAAAAAACAGAAATACCAAAGTCAAATATACTGAGAAGTACCAAAGGTTGAATATGTCCACGTGAGATCGGTTGTTTTTTTTACCATGGGTAAAAATACAGAGCAATGTAATTAAAAGGAATGATAAGAACCTCGATTCCTCGCGTGTGAGTATAGTTGTATAGGTCTTGTATTTGCTGTGAGGACACTGGATTCCCCCCCCCCCCCACCCCCCAGGTTATTATTATTCCCTGAACTTTCTCAGTGCTATTTCAAATCCTCTAAAATGAAGCATTGAGTTTAAGTAAATACAATAAGTGGCGGCATCCAATAAAGTGTGAGAGATATGAGTAACAGTGAAGCAGCGGCCATCTTGGTTGATAAAACAAGAGAAGCTAATGAAGAATGCTTTGTTATCGTCAACCAAGATGGCGGCAATGACGTAACATGCACCTGCTCTGTAATGCCCC